GTGTTGGAGAAGGAGACACTCTAACTTTATTGCGTTTCAGTATGCTGGTGATCATAAAGAAAGACGTGTGACAGGCAGGACTACATGGTCTGAAACACTGCAACTGTGAAAAGTGTCACAGTGTGAAACAGGCATAAGAAATCTCTGCCAAATAAATAAATCAGTACATGTCAAAACAAAGTGATAAAGCTAGTATTCTTTCTATTTTTAATTAAGCCTACTTGGTATTATTTATATATTTTGATTTTAAAATACACAATAATTACCAAAAATAGCAGGAAAACTCCTACTGTACATTGTGGCCAATTTAAAATACATTAAAAAAGATTTTTTTTTTTTTTACATATCATGGAACTCGTTCCAACAACTGCTCAGCCCTTTTTTTTCATGTTCAGAAAGCTCCAGTCAGATGGCCCTCTATGGAATCTATTTTGTACCTTCAAACTCTAAAAGAGCAGCAATAATCCAATCCCACAAAATGAAAATGAAGTGAAGATCTCTAAATACAAAGACAGCAAAAAAAATTTTATATTACATGCTGGAATCCCATGGAGAGTCAAGCAAGTGCTGTGCACAGACTCAACCTCTTACTTAAGAAATATAGTTCTGGCTCTGCAATCTGACTGGATGAGCCATGTGTGAAGTTATACACAGAACATTGTGCCTGCATATCCATTGAATTAAGTTATATTAGGTTGCTTGGCTGTCAGAAAAAAAATGTGCAAAAATCGCATTTTAAGGTGTACAACAGCTTGTAAACATATATAATTTATTGTATAAGTACCGTAGAGGAATGTTTCTCAACTGTCGTTTTTGGAACGCACCTCCCACAATGTTTTAGATCAGGGTGCCCAATCCTGTTCCTGGACATCTTCCTACCTGCAGAGTTCAGTTCCAGCCCTGATCAAACACTTGTCTGTAATGATCAAGTGCTCCTGAAGATATTTAAATAGTGGTTCAGGTGTGTTTGATCAAGATTGGAGCTGAACTTTACAGGAAGGCAGATCTCCAGGAACAGGACCGGGCACCCCTGTTTTAAGCTGCATCCCAATTCATAGGCTACGTCCTTCGAAGTGCGCATTTGAAGGCCGATTGCGTCATGGCAGAGCGACGGAGGCTGTCCCAATTCAAAGACCACGTCCTACGAAGGCTGCATTTGAAGGCCGATTGCATCACGGCGGTGCAACGAAGACTGTCCCAATTCACGATGCATCCTCCGAAGGCTGCATTCGAAGGCCGATTGCGTCAACGCAGC